GGGACTGACTCACTGCTGCCTCTGCTGGACGTCGGAGGAGTTGCAGGCTTTGCAGCGTTCGCTTATTTCTTCAGGCCCGCAGGCCGATGAGGGCCAACACCAGTCCTCAGCATGGAGTCAGCGGGACTCTGGCGAAGAAGTGAGCAGTCCGGCTTCGGCCTGATTCCCACCCCGCTGGCATGATGAGTCACATGTGGGGGCGGGGTTTACCTGCACAGACACCTGGGAGTTATTTGACCCTGAAGTCTGAGCTCGATAAAGCCTTCAGAGATCAGATGTTAGCGAGATGACTCGACTGCTTCAGTCAGTACTGTCCTCAGAGCACGGCTCACACAGCTGCAGGAAGGCCAGGCGTGATGGGCTGACCCCGTGTTTCACATTCGGGTGCTCTCAGGGCTCGAAACAGCCGCCATCCTCCAACAAGACAACATCAGAGAGAGAAACCACCGCGCTGCGCTGAGCGACACGATGGAAAGTTTGACTGCAGAATTCTGAGAAAGCAGCGCAGCTCACCACTGCCTGTGTTCTTAGAGCTCTCTGCACACACACACATAGGTGTGTGTGTGTGTGTGTGCTCCTTGCTGTGAGCAGGTTCTGAAGAAACGGTGTGTCAGCTGACCTGAAGCCTGAGGCGGAAACTCAACCGCACTGATTACCTGGAAAGATATTTCTGGGTAATACCACACACACACACACACACACACACACACACACAGCCTGTGTTATCAGGCAGTAGATATAACTGAAGGAAACCACAGCGACAGGAGAGAATATAATTAGAAAGTGAACTGTTCGGGCCTCACGCTCTCTGCACCAGACTCCATTTTATTTTCGAGCAATTTTCAGGAGCTTTATGACCACACACACACGCCACAAACTGAAAACTTGCAGCATGGAAACCACACAAACCCATGGAACAGGCCTGCTGGTGGTGTGCAGTTTACTGATGAAGGACCACGAGGTGAAGATGATGATGGAGCCAGTAATTAGTAGGGTGTTAGCAGATTGTTGGCTGGGAACTAGTGGGCCTTTAGTGGGTCATAGCGGGGTGTTAGCAGGGCGTTAGCAGGGCATTAGCGGGCGCTGGCGAGTAATTAGTAGGGTGTTAGCAGGTTATTGGCTGGGAGCTAGTGGGCCTTTAGTGGGTGATTAGCGGGGTGTTAGCAGGGTGTTAGCAGGGCATTAGCGGGCGCTAGCGAGTAATTAGTACGGTGTTAGCAGGTTATTGGCTGGGAGCTAGTGGGCCTTTAGTGGGTGATTAGCGGGGTGTTAGCAGGGCA